TAAGGCAGAAACAACCAATTCTTTTCATAAAGTTCACCTTGCATATGAATCTAAGGATATTTGTACAGTAATCCTGTCTCAACCCAGATCTAAAAAATCAAAAAAATCCAGAGGAAATGTAGGAGCTGGCATTTTCAGGCAGGCCATGCCAGTTGATTATAATGCTGGAGTTGAGAAAACAATTTTAACATCAATAGACAAGACAGTAAAAGCAGCTAGTGTTGGGTTTTTACCCACTGGGGGCTTTAAAACTGCTTTGAGAATTTTCCCTAGTTCCCATTGCAGAGTTTTGAGGCAGCTGTAGAAAACACACACATGTTTATATTTAGCACAACAGTCTCAAATACTCTAGCTCCATTATCTTGCATTACAGCTCTTCCCACATCATCAGGCTCACAGATGGGCCTTCTGGTATTCATGAAAAGCAATCAAAACCTACAGTTTGGGAAATTAAAACCCCACAGTGCTTCTCATAAAGAAACAAGGCTGAGCTTCTAATAGGTGATAGCATGCTGAGAGAGAGGGGAAACGTGACTTGGTGTTTAACCTGAATAATAGTTATTCCATTTCCTTTGCTTTTATTCTTTTTTCTTAAATCTTCTTAACATTTGGATTTGCAAATTATGTTCCATATACAATGACAATCATAAAAAATTCCACCGTAACTAATGACTTGAGTGTAAGCACTATAAAATTTCCTTCTACATTTTAAAACTGTAGGGGAAGATACCAAACCTAGAAACAAATTAATAATAGCTATAGATAAATATCTACTTTTTTTCTCTTCCTCGTGATGAATAAAATACTGTGAAAAGTTTTTATCAATTTTAGTACCATAAAGAAAGTAGTACAAATGGGTACATGAACCTATTCTATTGAATAAAAGTATGCACACACACCCCATCTTTTTTAAAGTTTTCTGATTAAAAGACACTGAGCAGGCAGAACAGAAAATATGTGGAACAAGATAAATATTATTGAAAGATACTACAGGCTGAGTTGATAAAGTGAAGAAATTCTACAAGGAAAAAAATGACAATGATGCTTCCATAGATCAGAGCTATTACTTAACAAGTGGGCAGTACTGCAGAATGAATATTGCTTCTGTTTAGTGTGCCAAATTGTAAAATAATGAAGATCCTCACATTGATTCTACACTAAAGCTTTATGCATGTCAGTTACAAAAGCCTTTTGGATTGGAACTAAGAGAAGACCTAATTTTACAACAGAAACAAAAAGGAGGCAATGTCAAAAGCTGTGAGCTCTTAGTAGGATGAGCTTCAGTTTACTGAAAGGTGTTTTGCAGATGATTCTGTTCTATAAACAGTAGGAAAATGGAGTTTTCAGGAAAACTATCAAATGCTTTTCAACAAGAGGGACAAAGTTTTTACTACTTCAGTGAGAACTAAACATTATATTCAATTAAATTCTCTAGTTAAGCCCTTTAGTTCATAGGGACTGCATCTCAACAGGAAAACTGTTCATGTTACTGCTCTTCCTTCAACCAAAAGGTATGGTCCATTATGCTCAAGACAGGGTTGGCTCATCCTTGGGTAGACCTGGCTAACTTTAGCCATGCACAATATTCCAAAGAAGAAAACAATGCTAAGAATCCCTGTACACAATTTTAAATGCTTATAGAGATATGGCCAAAGAATTGATGAAATTGTGATGCTTAATATGTCTACAACAAATAAAGAAGCAGTACATTAGAAAGCAATGTTTTCAAATATCTTATACTGGGTTTAAAAATTATGCTAAGAAAACATTGCCCAGGTCTGTTCTATACAGCATCAGACACACACAGCCATGAAAACATGGCACTCAAGAGAAACTGGATTTTGGGGTTGGTTTCAGCTAATTACAGGATTAGGTAATGTAGTCTAAGTTGCTTTCATGTATTTTGGCACATTTTACTTCATATAAATAATGTTATGTACCCAGCTCATTATAATGATACAGTAAAAAATATTAGAAAATGCCTTCAAAAACCACAAAATGCTAAAGAAGGGCAATTTTAATAATACACAATATTCCACTTGGCATATTAAGGTGTTTTTTTTGTTGTTGTTGTTTTGTTTTGTTAGTTTGTTTGTTTTGACAGGCAGAGTGGACAGTGAGAGACAGAGAGAAAGGTCTTCCTTTGCTGTTGGTTTAGCCTCCAATGGCTGCCGCGGCCGGCGCACTGTGGCCAGCACACCGAGCTGATCCAATGGCAGGAGCCAGGTACTTATCCTGGTCTCCCATGGGGTGCAGGACCCAAGTACTTGGGCCATCCTCCACTGCACTCCCGGGCCACAGCAGAGAGCTGGACTGGAAGATGGGCAACCTGGACAGAATCCGGCGCCCTGACCGGGACTAGAACCTGGTGTGCCGGCGCCGCAAGGCGGAGGATTAGCCTAGTGAGCCGCGGCGCTGGCCAGGTGGTTATTTTTTAAAAGTAATCCATGATCAGTAAGTTTAAAAATCACCAGGTAAAACAAAGTAAATTAATCTCCTTACAGGATTTTTGGTAGTCTGTACTTTTTTAACAAATTTTTTTTCTTTTTAAAGATTTATTTATTTATTTGAAAGTCAGAGTTACAGAGAGAAAGGAGAGGCAGAGAGAGAGAGAGGTTTTCCATCTGATGATTCACTCCCCAATTGGCTGCAGTGGCTGGAGCTGCACCAATCCAAAGCCAAGAGCCAGGAGCTTCTTCCAGGTTTCCCATGCGGGTGCAGGAGCCCAAGGACTTGGGCCACCTTCTACTGCTTTCCCAGGCCATAGCAGAGCGCTGAGCTGGATAGGAAATGGAGCAGCGTGAACTGGCGCCCATATGGGAGACCAGCACTTCAGGCCAGGGCATTAACCCACTGCGCTGGACTTTGTCAAAATGAATTTCAATAAGTAGAAACAGAAAAGAGAATGGAATTAATTAAATGCATTTCAGCACAAACTCTTTTCTTGAAGAACCATGGAGGTGATGTTTTTCAGAGCATATGTTAGGAAATGTTTACAAAATTCCTCATTTGGAGAGCAAGGAAAATAAGACACTTTAAAATAATGCAGTTTGGGGATGTATTGACATGCATTATCCTAATTATTTTAGTTCATAGTCAGACACCTAAAAAAGGACCATTTGAAAACTCTGGGTTTGTAGTTGGGAGAGCCCAATCCTTGTGGTAGCACTACCAAAAATGAGGGAAGCTATTTTGAGTTCCGAGACAGAAACCTCAGATTCCCATCAACCACCAAGAGCCAAGACAGCTGAGACTGGCATTGACCCTGAGTCAGAAGTCACTGAGGCTGAAAAGTTGGATGCAGGTGCATTGAGAAGAAGGTAGATAAGGGAGCATCAGGTAGTCTCTTGAGAGCCAGAGTAGAGCCTGAATTCCACCAGACAAGAATGAGTGGATAAATAGTCAATTACCCCACAAGGCTTTATTTTATATTATTTGATATACATTTTATCCAAAGTATTTAGCAAATGGATAATGTATACTAAGCATATCAGATATGTCAGATGTTGAGTAAATGAGGTTAAAGTGTTCTGTCTGTAATATCCAGTAGCTCATACATTACAATTGATATCAGACTTCAATAAATCAATGCATGCTATCATATGTAGGGTAACATTAAAAGTATTGTATAAGATTATATAATTTACAAGCTATGAGATGAGAACATAGCACACCAAAATTAATTTAAACTCCAATATGACATGGCTCATATCAAATGTTAATATCTCACACTCAGTGATGCTAGTATAATGTTCTGTGACTGACTCGTTTGTGACAGTACACAAGTGTAAAATTTGAAAGTCCTGCATAAGTTGGTTAATATCCAACTATCCAGTGCCACTGCCATTCATATTTTCTGTGGATCCTTTCTTCCACCTTATCATCTTTGAAGGCTTTCATGCTCTTTCTCAAGCAGGACATAGCCTCTGTGACAGATGATGTCAACAGAAAAGGAAGAAGGGCTAAAACTGAGAGAAAATTTTTCTAAAAATGTGATGGGGCCAGTGTTGTGGTGTAGCAGGTAAAGCCACTGCCTGCAGTGCTGGCATCCCACATGGGCACGGGTTCAAGTCCCAGCTGTTCCACTTCCAATCCAGCTCTCTGCTTTGGCCTGGGAAAACAGAAGATGGCCCAAGTCCTTGGGTCCCTACACCCAAATAGGAGACCTGGAAGAAGTTCCTGGCTTCAGATTGGCTGTGGGGAGTGAACCAGCTGATCAAAGTAAATATTTTTTTAAAAAATGTGATATATACATAAAAATATATAACTATATATATAAAAATCCAAAATAAAGGAATTTTAAACCCAGCAATAACAAAAAGCAAACATATAAATGGACCCCAAAATATAAAGATCTGCATGGTGAGAAAAACAGCAGGGGTCCCTTGACTGCTTCACCTGAGGAATGATGAGGTCACGGTCACACATATAAGGTCATCAGCTGATAACGGGAACCAAAGAATCGTAAGTGTGGAATACTACAGTGGTGTAGGAAAAAAAAAAAAAAAACAACAACAAACAAACAAACCACGAAATCCAGTCATTTCTAACAAAATGGATGAAACTGGAAAACATTATATTTAGTGAAATAAGCCAGTTCCAAAGGGACAAATACCATGTTATTCCTGATCTGTGATAACTAAGAGAGCACCTAAAAGGGAATCTGTAGAAGTGATATTGACACTTTGAGTGGCAATGACTTTGAACAGCCCTTGTCTTGACTGTTGAGAAAGTTTTTAATACTATTTGCTGAACACTTTACTCAGCGTAGTTAATCATATGTGTATAAAGTTTACTAAAAAATAGATCTCAGTAAAAAATAAGAGTGGGAATAAGAGAGGGAGGAGGAAAGGGAGTGGGAGTGTGGGTGGGAGGGCAAGTATGGTGAGACGAATCACCATGTTCCTAAAGTTGTGTTTATGAAATGCATGAAATTTGTATTATTTAAATAAGTTTTCTTTGGTGGGGGGGGAGTCATAATGAACAATGTTAGAGCTCACATTCATGGACATAGAGCCTGTTGCTTCAAACCAGGGTAGAACACTTCATTCTTGGGACCTGGAATAGAATTTTAAGAAAATATTTGCTTTTTTGATAAGAAAAACTAATGAACAATTTAACACTAACCCAGAACCATCTAAAGAATAAAATTACAACTTGAAAGGATGCAGCTGGTTTCAAGTGACTTAAGTGATTCTCAAACCCAACAAACATAAAATTATCCACCTTAAACATTTAGACACTTACATAAAAAAGACCATAGATATAAACCTTTTACAATTTAACTTGAATCACAGTGCTAAATGAAAACTGTAAAACATAAAATGTCTACATGAAAAAAAGATGCCATTGGGTTTATCAGATTTCAATGTAACACCAATAGAATATCTAAACAAAAAATTAATAAATAATTGTGTGAAAGTTAAAGTTTTTGTCTTTTTGAAAGATGCTGTTAAAGAATGAAAAGATGTGTTACAACTGGAAAATGTCAAATGAGATAAAAGACTTAGCGAGAATTTAAGTTAAAATATGCACCTGATTTAAAATGAGTAAATGTCCAAGAATACACCATACTGTACTAGATCTACAGATGTATTTAAACACAGAGAAAGATGTTTAACAACATATCTTATAGGGAATTACAAACGAAGACCACATTGAGATGTCAACAGAAAGGGCCAAGTACAAACGGAAAAGAGGTGAACGCTTAGGAAGAGGGCCTGTGTGAACGGAAAGGGCGGGGGAGCTGCGACAGAAAGAGCCAAGGCTTCCAGAGGGTGGTGTGCACATGGAGAGGGCCATGTGCAAATGGAAACAGCCAAGTACAAACAAACGGGAAGAGTAGAGGCTTGATGAAGAGGATCTGGGGACCAGGCAGGGGCAATGTGGGCAGTCTTGGGCTGGAAGGACCCCAGGTTGGAACCCAGGGAAAGGCAGGGAAAGACCTAGAGGCGGGGACCTGGGCCAGGGGCTTTCGCATGGGTACAGCTCCTGGATCCCAGGTGAGGAGCAGGTGTAATGAAACAGGTGAGCAGAATGCCCTGATCAAGCTGCTAGGGTCCACAAGGTTTTGATTGGCTGTGGGCCACAGATAGGCCTTGCTGGGGCTGAGTCTGAATGTCAACCAGCTAGGCTCAGACCCAGGAGACTTCAGCTGACCCCTGTGCGGGAGTGGACATCCTCAGTGACTTTTGGGTGACACTGCTAGGGAGAGTGAACGTTGGACTCAAGAGTGGACACCGGGGGACTTAGATGGGACTAGATGGGCCATTTGCCTAGAGGCAGACACAGACACCCTCCATCCCCACAGCAAACACTGGTTGAATAAAGAAAGGTATGCCTTGCACGCAACACACATATACACATACATACACACACACGCGCACGGGCGCACATTACATGTACCACACCAGCTGAATAGTGTCATCCTCTTCCAGGAGTGCAGCCTCTGAGGCCTCCCAGAATGGACACTGGGGCAGAGTCCACTGGGTTGCTGCTCCATGGGCTTGGCTCTTCCTTCTCGGGCCTTTGAAGACTGCCCAGGTGGGTGACAGGTGAGCTTCAGGCAAGTGGCAGGGGAGACCCCAAATGCACCTGCTCTTCGCAGCCTGAGCAGGGGGGCCTGCCTCCTGGGTCATGCCCGAATCCACATACCTACCCCCTCCCCTGACACCAGTGCAGCAGCCGCCATAGGCCTCGCTGGACATGGCATAGTACCACTCCTAGTCCAGGGCTTTCCAAATGGCCCTGCCCCTCCCAACTCCACCCCTCTCCCTCAGCTCCACCCCTTCTCCTCAGCTCTGCCACCCCTTGCCCAGCCCCACCTTGTAAGTTACAGCTGCAGCCCTTTACTCCAGCCCCACCCCTCTCATTGGCCCCAGCTCTGCCAGGGCACTCCCTGAGTGACAGTGGGATGGGGACATGACATGTAGATGCTGACATCACCTGGGGCCCCTGCCCCACTGGAAGTCATACACCTCTCTCTCCATTCCTGGAGCGTCCAGCACTGACCCATCCTCCCACTGCTGCCTGCCACCACCTCAGCCACCAGCAGCTTGTACTCCATGGCTACAAAATGGTTCCAGGGCCAGCACTGTGGCACAGTGGGTTAAAGCCCCAGCCTGCAGCACCAGCATCATATATGGGTGCTGGTCCCAGTCCTGGCTGCTCCACTTCTGATCCAGCTCTCTGCTATGGCCTGGGAAAGCAGTGGAAGATGGCCCAAGTCCCAGGGAGACCCGGAAGAAGCTCCCGGCTCCTGGCTTCAGATCGCCACATCTCTGGCTGTTGCAGCCAATTGGGGAGTGACCTCTTTCTGGCTCTACCTCTCTCTGTAACTCTTTCAAATAAATAAAAATAAATATTAAAAAACAACAACAACAACAAAAAAAACAGTTCCAGTCTGACAGCTCAGGGTTTTCACCATCCCACGGGAGGCGCGCAGTCTGCAGTGGTCATCAGTGGTCAGTAGCAGTCAGCAGAGTCGTTGGTCAGCAGTGGTTGGTCACCAGCAGTCACTGGTCAAGTAGGGGCCATTGGCAAGTGGTCAGAATAGGTGACTGGTTAGTGGACAGCAGTGGTCAGTGTTCACCAGCATTGGTCATTAGATTTATAAAAGCAATGAGGAAGTTTCTTGTGCCATCATGTCTGCAGCAGGTAGTGGTGTCGAAGGGCTCCTGGGTCAGAACCACAAGACCCTGTTGGCCCTAGGAAAAGCCACTGCATCCCCCCAGCTTTTCAGGAAACCATGGGTATCCAGCAGACGGCTAAGGCTGAGTGACATTGCAGGCAGAGCCGGAAATTTCCACTTAGAGACTACAGGAGCCGACTGCTCCAACCACCCCTTCTCCTGGGCCAGCTGGGTGACAGACGTCAGTCAAGGGGGCTTTTTCCTTCAAGAAGTTCTCACCTCCCTTGCAATCTCACTTCCTATTTCTCATAGATGGACGTGTGGCCACACACACCCCTTCCAGGCCTTAAAGCCCCACTCAGTGATTTTGAAACCTAAGAACTGGCTGCTGTCCGTTTATTGGCCTTTAAATGGGTTTTAAAAAACACCAGGGTTTAGAGTAATAGGTCAGCAGGAAGTCCCCACCTCTGTTGTGACATCACTTCCACTATCGCATAAATGGACAGCTCTGCTTTCCTCAGGAAGTTCCTGTCTCCCTATTCAGTAGTGCTCAGCATTAAATGGGGTACCTTCACCCTAGTCAAGTCCACCTGCTCATTCTGCTCACGGTCCAGGTGCTTGTCCACGTTGAATAAAGTATCAAAGAACATGGGCGCTAGCAGCTGGCAGTGCTTCACGTCATCCAGCATAATGTGGCCTGCAGAGGTAGAGTGAGGGCATGGACGCTGGGATGGACAAGGGGACAGACACTGGACGGACACCAGGGCCATGGACAGATTGACATGGGGACTCAGAGAGGCCTCAGAGGATCAGAGTGGACACAGGCAGTCAAGCACAGATCAGGAGGGGTAGACAGGGGTGAGGGGTAGGGGACCTGGATGTCAGGGCCTTGTGAACCCCCCCAAGTACCAGAGTGTATGCAGGCAGGCAGGCATCAGCCAGCAGGGGGTGCTGGAGGTCTGCGGGCCGGATGGAGACCCAAGTGTAGGTGGGGGCACATGACACCAGAGATGAGGGAATGGCAAGACCCTTCCCCGGCAATGCCCTCCAAACCTGGGGGCAAATAGCTGGGACCTGAGAGGCAGAGCTTGGCCTTCCTGGCCATCCGGTCCCTGCAGATGGGGAGAAGGCAAGGCCAGGAGGGGAAGGGGTGAGGCCTCTACCATGGGTCCTCAGCCTAACAAGGTCCAGCATCCGGCAGATGTAGCTGGGGAAGGGCAGCAGGTAGAACCAGGAGGGGAGGGCTAGGGGAGGGCCAGAAGAGGAAAGGGGCTGGGCCTCTACCCTGGTCTACGGCTGCACGGGGTCCAGCATCTGCAGAGGCACTCAGGGAAGGGCAGTGGTCTGATGCTTAAGTCTGCAGCCAGTGGCTCTGTTCCTCATAGAACTTCAGCTCAAAGGCAGAGAGCACCCCGTCCCCATCCAGATCCATGCAGTGGAACCAGTACTCAAAGCTGCCTGGTGGGGAGGAAGGAAGACCGTGGGGAAATGCTGATAACCCAGAAGTGACCACTGATCACACTGCTGTTCACATTGTGACCACTGACTGCTCACAAAGTGACCACTGACCATGCTGGGGCCACATGCTGCCTGGGCAGGGGGAACAGCGGTTAGCTACTGACCACATTGATCAATGACCACCCATTGGATGCTGCTGATCACACTGATTCACTAAAGTAACTACTGACCACGCCATGGACATTGCTGACCACTGACCACATTGAAGGACACTGTTTCTGTCCATGTAGTGGAACCAGTACTCGTTGCTGCCTGGGGGGGGGGGGTGAATGACGGTCAGTGGGGGATACTGTTCACCATGTAGTAAACACTGACCATCCCAGGGACACTGCTGACCACACTGACTCTGAGGTGAACATTGACCTGAACACACCAGGGACACCAGTTCATTCGCCCAGATCTCCACTGGGTCATACTGAGCCTACAGTATCCAGCAAAATCCACCAACTGCCTGCCTGTGCAGCCTAAGGACCCACCGGGTGGGTGTGGTCTTTTCTTTCTCAGAGAGCAGGAACCACACGAAGCCTCAAAGCTCATCTTCCCTGCCCTCTGCCCTGTCCTGTCCCTGAAGTTAGCTGCAATCAGCAGTGGTCAGCAGCAGTCAGTGGACACAGGCCAGGGTCAGATGAGCCTGTCCCAGCTGGAGGTACCCCCATCAAACCTCTCAAAGGGAACCCCAGGAGTCCTGCACTGGACCTGAGGCCCCCACCCCATGCTGTCCACACTGTCCCTGATCTGATGTGATGGATACCAGTGATGTCATCATCTCCACAATGTTATCACCCGTGATGTCATCACCTGTGCTCCCCAACCAGGGACCTCCACCTACCACATGATGGCACTTGAGAATATCCTGTCAATCATCTTGTTGGAGATGGCTTTGGAGGAAGACGTGAGGCCTGTGAGCTGTGAAGGGCGAGGCTGGTGGCTAGAGTCAGCATGGAGTGTTCCTGGGGATTCTGGGGGCCCAGGGCAGGGTTCAGAGGGGGCCCTGACCATGGTCATGGTGCCAGGCCAGGTCCCAGCTGTCCAGCAGATCCTAATCAGTATCAAGTTCGCGGAAAGCACACTGGATGACATAGACATGGTCCTAGCACTAGCACTTGCTCTGTTGGCTCAGTTCCACCGCCTCTTCCAGCAGAGCCACCAACTGCAGCGGGCAGGGCCTCAGGATGAGGGCAGGGCCTCAGTTTCAAAGGGGTGGGGGCAAGGGCTGCAGGATGGGGGTGGGGCTTTCAAGGCCTTAGGTTGTGGAGCAGTAGGATTTCCTGCCATGGTGGGACTGGGGTCTCCTATCCCAGAGGTGGGATCTTCTTTGGGGGTGGGGTCTCCTGTCCTGGGAATAAGGTGTCCCATCATGGGTGGTGGTTCCAGGCACACACCTGCAGGAAGCAGCTCCTCCTGAGCTCAGAGCAGCTGATGTGCCCAGACCAGGACCTGCTGACTGCGTAGATCCACTGGGTCACCTGCACAACAGACAAAGATGGGGCTGGGGCAAGCAATGGAGGCATTGGGGCTGGGGCAGCAAGGTTGGGTCTGGTAGTAGCTGGCAGACATGCTTACCTGTGCTCACCCGAATGTCCTCTCATCTGACTCTACGGCAGCAGTGGATGGGGCATCCCAAGGGATCCACCCCCTGGTGCTCCCAGAAGGGGCAGCACAAGGAAAGGAGGAGCTGCCGCTCACAGGGGGACTCTGATTAGCACAGGTATACTCGTGCCCAGGTAGATTACAGGTGGGGTCAGGGGTCACAGGTTGGGTTGAAAGCATCACAGTGGGGTCGGGAGTCTAGGGCACTCATGGTGGTGATGTAGCAGGAGTGGAACTCAGCTCCTCCTAGAGAAAGGTGAGGCCAGTGTTCGAGTCCACGTCCTGGGACCCAGAGGATGAGTGACAGGTGTGAGGTGAGGATGCCTCCCTGTGACAGGTGTGACCTGTGACAGGTATGTAGTATGTGTGACAGGTGTGAAGTGTGGATGACCCCTATAACAGGTGTAAGGAATGACAGGTGTGAAGTGATGATGTCCCTCTGTGACAAGTACGACCTGTGACAGGTGTGACAGATGTGAGGTGTGGACGCCACCCCTTGATAGGTATGAGGGATGTGCAACTGACAGGTGTGACACGTGCATACCCTACTGGGGGAGAAGTGGGGCACTCACCTACAGGAAGGGGACAAAATCCTCCTGCTCTAGGAAGTCACGCCGAGGTTCAGCAAGCAATTACAGGAACCTGCCCTGTCGTCCTGGCAGTTGCGGAGGATTCTGGAAGCATTAGCAGCACTCATAGCTCTGTCCAGGGGAGGCAGAGGTGGGGCCAGGGTCCCCTCTGCCAATCACAATGCAAGAGGCAGAGCCTGGGTCCACTCTGCCTATCACAGCACAGGAGGCCCCTCCCACTGCCCAGAACTCCCAAAAAGTCCCTGTCCCACCCCCACATACTCTCCTGCCCCATCAGAAGTTCCCAAGGCCCAGCCCACCCAGCCCAACCAGAATGTACAGGGCTTACCTGCACCACATGGCCATGAAGCAGTACAGAATACAGATCCTCTGTGCCAGCTCCCAGCCCAGTGGAACAGGAGTCCTTTCCAGTCTAAGGGGCAGCCGCAGACCTGGGAAACAACCCAGCTGTCACCGAGGCTGCCACTCAGGGTGACTGACGGTGGCAACAAGAAGAACCTGGACAGAAGCAACAGAAAGAACCCAGCCAGAGGGAGGATACAGGCTGTGCCGCTCAGGGTGATGGACAGCAGGGAAAGACCCACCTATAGAGAGGGCACAGGCCATGCCGCTCAGGGTGATGGACAGCAGGGAAAGGAAGGACCTGGACATAGCCAGGGCACCGGAAATGACAGACAGCAGCAACAGGAAGGAAATGGCCACAGAGAAGGCACAAGCCACTCCCCGCCCAGGGCCAGCACCCACCTTGGCCACTGCCAGGTCCCATAGGCCCCACCCCTGGCCTCCAGATCCACAGGCCCTGGCCCTGCCCCCTCTCCCCCTCACCCACCTTGGCCACATTGCCCCTGTGCCCCTGGCAGGCACACTGCAGTGGGAGCCTGGCAAACACCATCTCCAAGGTGCCAATGGCCATGTCCACACTCAAGGCATCCACCAGGTGGCCCCACAGGAAGCAGAAGGCTGGGATCTTGCCTGCAGGGAGTCCCAGGGGTCCCTGTGGCTCTGGTCAGGTCTACACCTGTGGGGGTTGGGCAGAGGTGGCGTCTAAGGACAACGGCCTACCCTGTCACACCTGCTGACCATTGACCGCTGACCACTGACTGCTGACCACCCACAGGACCTACCACTCCAGCCCTGGATCTGTCACACCAGTCCAGGACCTGTCAGTTATTCCAATCCTGGACCTGCCACTAAAGCCTGGGACCTGTCACTCCAGCCTGTGATGTGTCACTCACTCCAGCCCAGGACCTGTCACTCCAGCTCAGCACTTGCCATTCTAATCTAGGAGCTGTCAGTCACTGAATCCTGGGACCTGTCACTGCAGCCATTTCAGCCCAGGACTTGTCACACCAGCCTGGGACCTACCACTCCACCAGAGATATGTCACTCCCACAGCAGTGCCAGAGACCCTAGCCCCAGACCAAGCCCCTCCCCTACTGAGCCAGTGAGGGTGGGGTATAGATCTGCCCCCTTCTGTGGGGATCCTGACTCAGGACTGCAGTGTAGGCATGCCCCCTACTGTGCTAACCCGGTCCTTGGCTGTTCCTGAGCTTCCAGGGCTGTCAGTGGGTGTGGCCTCCATATGCACAGGAAGTAGGTTTGATGGACAGCTGCCCCTGGCCCCACAGTGTCCACCCAGGAACCTGCCCAACCTGGCACAGACCCTCTGCCCCACCACCCCATATCAGACATTATTGCTTAATAATTGACAGCGGTCCATCTTGCCTTTACCAGGGTCAGAGCCAAAGCCTGGCTCCAAGGAGCACATCAGGTTGGCCCCGAAGAGACCCAGCAGTGCACACTTCCACACACACACACACACACACACACACCCTCCTCTTCATCATCATCCTCATGCCACTCACTGTGACGGCCAGCAGGGAGAGGGAGGACCTGCCCACAGCAAGGGCACAGGGTGTGCCACTCCGTTTAACTGCCAGCAGGGACAGGAAGGATCTACCCACAGATTGTGGAATAAACTCAACCCCCAGGAAGATTGACTGACAGTCCGGGTCAGCCGGTGACTGACAGTTGCAGGTGCAACCCAGCCTAGCCCTCAGCCTCTCGGCTGCACAGAGCAGCTGACCCCAACTCCAGCTGACCATGGCTGGGCCCAGGAACTCCGACCCCTGTGGGCCCCTGGAAAATCCCAGAAACCCAGGTGGGGCAGATATGGGGCTGGAAATAGCAGGTGAGCCCCAGCTCCACGACAGCTCTGTATCTCTGCTCCTTCCCAGGAGCCTATGCTCCGTGAAAAGTCAGGGTCTCTGGTTCTTCTCCCTGAGTCCCTCCCCCGTGAATAACAGCTCAGTCTCTGCCCCCTTCTCATCAGCCCCTGCTCCAAGCATGACAGCTCAGAATCTCTGCTCTCTTCCCATGATGCCTTGCTACGTGAGTGACAGGTCAGCATCTAGGCTCCCCTCCCATGATTCTCTGCTCTCCCTAACAGCTCAGCGTCTCTGCTTCCTTCCCATGAGCCCTTGCTTTGAGTGACATCTGTACATCACTGGGCACTTCACAGTCAAAAAAAAACAAAAACAAAAACAAAAAAAAAACACTTCTTATGAAGGTGCCTCTTTGAAGGAATTAAAAAACCTCCAGGGACCCGCAACTTCCAGTGAAATCTCCTCTTTCCGGAGCTGAAGCTTCAGGCACAGGTGCGCAGCCGCTGTCAATCACACAGTCGTCCCTGCTGCAGGACCGCCCCCAACAACACTCCAAGAAATAAAACACATGGCTGGGCTCTGGCCCTTCTAACCTCCTCCTCCCATCCCACTCCCCCTAACCAACCCAAGACCACCAGCCATACCAAAACTGGCCACGCCAATTACCAAGGCCACGTCTTCCCCGCAAATCGCTCGGTTGTAAAGCCCCCTCCTCACCTCCGCCCTGCATCTCCCGCCTCTGGGCCCCGCGGGTCAGTGGGCGCCACGGCCGGGGAATCCGCCCCGGGGTTGGGCGGCAGCATGGGCGTCCGGAGGTCCGGGTCCGCCCGGGGCGGGTGCTGGCATCCCGGCGTCCGCGGAGACGGCCACGTGGACAGCGACACTAGGGGCCTGGGCCGCGCGCAGGCACTCGTGGAACACGCGCTGCGCGCCGCTCTCAGCAACCGCAGAAAGAGCTCCACCTTCATCCTCAGAACGGGCTGGAGCGCGCGGCGCAGGGGCGTGGCGGCTTCCACCGTTCTCGCCTCACAAAGGACCCAGGGGCCGGGCCGGCCACTTCAAAACGGGCGCTCTGGACGCGGGGCTCCGTCCAACCGGCGGCGTAGCGCGTCATCACGTCCGTGGGCGTGACGTCATCAGGGCCGCGACGGCTATCTCGTAGTTTTCTTTTTCTTTCTGGCCCCCTCCGCCGATACTGGAGGCAAAGGGGAAGGTTCTGGAGCCTAGGCAGCAACCGGAATCCCCGCGATCGTGGCTTCTTGGGGTGCCTGAGGGGTCGCAGCGGAGGTTGCAGCTTGCGCTGTGCGTTCTGACGTGGGTGGTCGGGGCGGGGGAGGCAGTTGTGGCTTTGTGCGTGCGCTGAGAGTGCCAGTTATCGAGGCTCTGAAGGGAAGAAGGGCTGCTCCGCGGCGCTTGCAAGGTGCCGAGATGGAGCGAGAGTCCGGGGTTGAGGGCGAGTGGTAGGGGGAGAAAAGGAGTGAGCATGCCCTATGAGAGGCAAAACGGTTCAGCGGGATTTTAGGGCGAGGGTGGCGCAGATGCACCGCACCTGGGGTTCTTGTGAAATGATGTGGGGCCCACTAAAGATGTGGCCCAGCAGTGAGTGAGACAAGGAGACCTGCTGCGGAGGCGGGTTCACCAGGGACTGGGCGTGGCATCACCTGTCTGGAACAGATGAGAATTTTTATTTAATTTCATGGAAATACTATACAGAAATTGCAGGTGTGCATGATTAGGGAGCTGCAGTCAGGAGCTCCAGCCAAGTCTCCCACGTGTGCATGAGCCAGGAGCTCCCTCCAGGTATCTCAGGTGGGTGAGAACCATCTGCTGCTGTTTTCTCCCAGGTGTACATGAGCAGGGAGCTGGAGCCAGGAGCTCCATCCGGGTTTCCCATGTGGGTGCAGCAGGTGTACAAAGATGAACCCATGATGGCAGGTGCACCTGCTACTCTAGGTGCAGGTGCTGCTGGCACAAGGTAAGCCACACAGACCCAGTTTGGTCCACGGTGACCTGAGAAAGGAAATCCCCCTGCTCTTGGGGTTCCCCAGACACTGCGTATGGGAGTGCTTGGTCCTAGTATGTGCAGCAGAGCATGAATCGCAGGTGCAAGGGCTCGGCTGGGCGACTGCTGGAGGCAGAAGCATCCTGCGGAGGTAGCTTTTGGTGGCTGGGTGAGTGGAGACTGTGGGGTGAATATGTGATCATTGCATGACCCAAGCATGGTGAGGGTTAGATGCCCCAGCTGTCCACCACCCAGAGCCCCTGTCTTTCACTTGGGAGTGGATCGAAGTACAGGTGATTGATGTCATTATGAATTGACAGATAGGTGATTGATAGGTGGGCGGGTGGGTAGATGGATGGATGGGTGAGTGATGGATGCTAATGGATAGATGGTGGGTAGATACGTTAATGAGTAGATGGATGGGTGGGTGAATGCATGGAAGGGTGGATGGATAGGTGGATGTGTGGATTGATGGATGGGTGGATGGAAGGGTAGGTGGATAGGGTGGGTGGGTTGGATGGATGGATGGATGGTTATATAGATGGATATGTGGATGGATGGATGGACAGATGGACATGTAGATGAGCAGATGGATGGATCGATAGGCGAATGGTTCAATACTGACTTGCAGCTGAGTGCATACATAAGCATCTAAGTGTCTGTGCTCATGCACATTCTAGGCAGGGCCATCAGGAAATGGTTCAGGGCCTTATGAAGCTGCTGCACCCACGTGGGACACCTGGATGAAGCTCCTGGCTCCTGCCTGCAGCTCCCTGCTCATGCACCCCTGGGAGGCAGCAGCAGAGGATGGCTCAGGGCCTTGTGCACCTGCTGCACCCATGTGGGAGACCTGGATGGAGCTCTTGGCTCCTGGCTTCAGCTCAGATTCTGTACACAGCTCATGTCTTGAGAGCCCAGGTTCTCAAGACATCTCAGATTCTCCACACACCCAGAGTAGGTTGTTTGTGGTGCCAGGAAGGCACCACACAAAACAAAACAAAACAAAAGCAATAAAACCATTTCCACAGTGTTTTTACCAACAGGAAGAAAAAAAAAAAGCAGGATGGAGGCCATAAACCACAAGTGAACATGGGCTGAGGCCTTACCTGTGCCTAGGTGCCCCTTTGCCTGCCCCAGGGTGACTGCTTACCTGTCCCCAGGGACCCTGAATCCTTCCCAGATCCTAGGAGAAAGATGAACAGGAAGATGGCAGCCAAGGGAGCTGCTGCCTGGCCAGGGGCCCTCTGAAACAAGACTGACATATGAGTGAAAGCCATCAGAGGGGGAATTTGGCTGGTGACAGACAGAGGCCATGCCCTTTATTGAAGAGGCACAGATGGAACAGGATAAAATGGCAGGACAGAAGTAGAGCCAGCCTCAGCATTAAAGAAAAAGACACAAACACACAGCTGTCATCCTGCCAATCACATGGGTGTCAGGACCTGGACATCATAGGGATGTCATCCTATCACATGGTCATGAGGACCTGCAAATGAAACCTCCCTCTACCCATTTTCTTAAGTCTGCATTTCAAATAAATTATTTTTAAATAGAAAAAGGGAAGTAGCTTTCCAGGGGACTCATCGCTACACAGCCTTAGGCCTCTGCATCAAGCTTACTTCCTCATCCAGCCCATGAGTGACATTTCGACACAACGTGTCGCTCCCCGTCTTCGTGGGGGAACGACACAAGACCCTGCCTAGGCTTCATATCCGAGTCACGGCACCATTATGTCGCTCCCCGTCTTCGTGGAGGAGCAACACAGGACCCTGCGCTGTTCTTTCGTCTGCTCGGCCCTCCCCGGGTTTGCTGCTGGTTCTTCCCGGGTTGGCTACTATCCCTTCCACCTCCGTGGAAGGGCAGTTCCCCCTGGCCGCTTTCCCCACTTCCGCAGGGGAGCGGCACTCCGCCGGCCGGCTTTCTCGGGGGCTGCACGGGTGTTCCTTCAGCTAGATGTTCCCCATAGATGTTCCTGGTGCATGCCGTCTCTCTCCTCCTTTATAGTCCTCCTCCGCCAATCCCAACTCGGCTGCCCACACGCCGAGTACGCTGCTCTCCTCCAATCAGGAGCAAGTCCTACAGTTAATTGGTTGAACTGGAGGCAGCTGTGCGGAAGCTGTTTACTTCTCTCCCAGCGCCATATTGTGGGAGAGCAGATGCATAGAATAAGTCTTAATTCCAGTAACAGTCTAGTCCGGTTTGCTCCCCACAACAACGTATTATGGAAATGGCTTTCTAGGGGTGCCAGTGACCAGCTGGCATTGGGAGCAGAACCAGTGATGGTTGTGCTTCTGGGCTGATTATGGATAGGCAGACAGATGATTGACAGATGGATGGATGATGGACAGGTGACAGGAATGTAAGGAGGTAGACAGGTTGATGGGTGGATGATAGATTCATACATAGTGATAGAGATACAAGAAAGAGGTGATCAACATGGAATAGATGGATAGATGATAGGTGAAAGACACCTAAAGATAGAGGGAGTGAAATGATTGACAGAATAATAAGTAGATTAATGTGATTGACTCATAGGTAGATATATAGAAAGACACATGATGGACAGAAAAAGGATAGTTGATGGATTACACAAATAATTAGACAATAGGTAGAAAGATAGGTAGACAGAAGTAGAAGACAATGATAAAGATAGATAAGAGATGGTGGATGGAGATAGATGGAGATAAATGATAGGTGGATGCATAGCACAGGGGAGCTGCACTGAAAGTCAACGGACAGTGGGCCTGGTGACAAGCACCTATGTGGAATATTCTAGAACGTCCCAGGCGCACACCCAAAAGCTGGACTCAAGGTAGGTACAATACAAGATCTCACAAGGACAAATCCCTGTGGGAGATCCAGCACAAACAGCAGGTGAGGCAGCTGTCAGAACTGACACCTGTCCAGATGGATCACTCACAATGAGGGACCTCAGTAGAGCTGCTGGCTGCTGACTGCACCTCCCTGCTCATGCACATCTGGGAGGTAGCAGCAGGGGATAGCTCAGGGCCTTGTGCACCTGCCCCCAGGTCGTGGCATTCACCTGGTCCAGGAACTCGGGTTCCCCAGGCGCAGGTGAGCTCCTGCAGTCCACCGAGGGAACCCAGCTGGGGCCCCGACTGGACTTCAAACTCCTGCTTTCAAAGGCCCCTGATGCTGGAACCTCCAGGTGGCCCACAAAAGTAACATGTGCAGCCCTCAGGTAGCAGCAGCTTCCTCCAGGCAAACCCTGCAGCTTTGAATGCAGGTGCTATTTTTGCTTCCCATAAAAGCACAGGTGAGTATGCCTGGTTGCACACCACATACACCATGAGCAACTCTCACCACCTCCAAGCCTAGAGCACCCTTTAAAAAATTATAAACTGAGTTTGCTGCTGCAAGTCCACCTGTCTGCATTGCTTTTATGCAGGTAAACAGGATGACAGATTTACAAGCTGTCCACAGGAGTGACACACAGCAGGTGCCCCTCCCCACACACCTGAGTGACAGCACACATGGGCCATAGCCTAACCTGTTGGTGGAATGCCTCCTGCACCCACATACTGGCATGCCACAAGACCTAGCCAAGGTCCCCCAAGTCTTGCTAACCCCTCAGAGACTAGTACATGATGGACAGGTCTGTCCCTCAGCCCACTTCTATCCCTTCATTCCTTCACTCACACACCCATGCACTGCACTCCAGTAGTTGCACCTGCTTCTTCCATGCAGGAAGAGTGGGACTGTGTGCAGCTGTGGACACAATCTGACCTCATTAGCTGGGGGTTCCGGTTTCCCAATCCTGCCCCAGGAGGAACTGCTGGGAGGCAGGGAAGAGAAACAGAAAGAGATGGACAGGCAGGCAGGCTTATGGCAGAGGAGGAGGCCTGTCTATTACCCTCTAGATGACCCTCGCACTTGCAGGGTCCACAGCTACTGGTGCTGCTGCTGCGCTGATTTGTACCTACCTGCTCATGGCTCCCATTCCAAGTGAGCAGACTGGGGGTTGGGGGAGAGGGTGCAGTATAGGAAACTTCTAGAAAATTAAGAACTCCTCTCACCTGGGAGCCCCAGAGCTCTGAGCACCCAGGTGGTTGCACCTGTGTGAGTGACAGCCCCACCACCACCACCACCACCAGCAGAAGGC